GAGGGTGGGGGAGGGAGAGAGAGAAGAGGGAGAAAGGAGGGGGAGGGAAAGAAGAAAATGTTTCCCTCTAGGAAACTGAAACGCAAAGTCTTTCATCTAAAAATAATTTGTGGCTGGTCACTGGGACCATCAAACACAACCAACTTGCTGTTCTCCCAAACTAATAAAACCAGCAATACTTAGAGCCGCAGCATGGGAACGAAAGAGAGCGGTAATAAAACACGTCTTCCAACTAAATATGGAAAGCCGCAGAACACCAGAAATAAGGAGTTCATACTGCAAGGAGCCGTTCGATCACTGTCAGTGACGGGATGAAGACACGATCAGTAAAGACCACATGCTGTACAAAGTCTATAGGATCAAGAACGCCTGGCTCAGCAAAGCTGGAAAAACATTGAGACTGAACAGCTAATGACTTCTAAAAAAGAGAAAAATCGCTCCATTTTTTGTCAAGGAGTCCAAATAAATCACTAAAACTGCAAAAGCAATAAAGCTACATTTTCATCTGTTAAAATATATCAAACAGCCCAAACTATTCCCATTTTGGATGCAGGAAGGAGTAGATATATCCCATATATGTCCCATCCCAGAGATTCCCCTTCACTTCCTGTGCTGTAGACACAACAGGATGTAAGGAGCTGGATGGAAAAAGAAAAAAAAAAAGTCAGTCGAGCAGCGACTGCAGCCGATTGGCCAATTTGATTCCACAGCCGTTTGACTTTTCTAACCAAAACTTTGATAACCCCTAACGCCAGGTAAACAACATTTTCTGGACCAGATCGGGAACGCGGTGCTTTGCTTTTTGCCGCGTTCCAGCATGTTTTTCCCCCCTGCTTAAAATGGGCTTTCAGGGGCAGTCCAGTGTGTTTGCATGCGTTATAGTGCATTCCAGACCAGAGAAAATGAGACAAACAGTATTTTTCTCTGTCTGGTCTGGAAAGGACTGCGCTGGTGTGAACAGAGCCCACAAATACCATAGTCATACATTGGCATGCTTTTTTTGGTCCGGGAACAAATTGGTCTGGTCATGACCCGGACATGGTGTGAACAAGCCCCAAATCAGCGTTAGCCAAACTCCAGCCCTCCAGCTGTGGTGCAACTACAAATCCAATCATGCATTTGCCCCTGGGAGTCATGCCTGTGGCTGTTTTGCAATGTCTTATGGGACTTGTAGTTGCACAGCTGACGTGCCGAAGTTTGCCTACTCCTGCCCTAAATGAATGTGCAGTTGACAAGCATTTTAAAACATGATAAAAACATGGATTACATTTTCATATGGCACACATCAAAAGCAAACATTTCCAGAACACTCAACCTGCATCAGAAAACTACATAGCCTGATTAGCCTTAACCTCAATACAAATTAGTAAACTAAACATGAGATTGTAGTCAATCACAGGAGTGAGCTTGGAGCGGTGACTACTTTACAACACACACAGGGACCTTGGGGAACACAAGTAGCCCCCCTCCAAAAGGAAGGACAATGTCAGCACCAATTCAGAGATGATTGGAGGATCTACAGCCGAGTGATACACAAATTATACATTTTTGTTAATAGTTAAAAGGTACTTAAATTTATTTATAAGATTTAATTCCTGAGTTTAGTGTCACTTTAAGGGCAGTTTCACACCATTTTCCTAACCATGGTGTGAACTTGCCCGCAGTTCCAGTGCATTCCAGACCAGACAAAATGAGACAAGCAGTATTTTTCTGATCTGGTCTGGAACGGACTGCGCTGGTGTGAACAGAGGCCAGAAATAGCATGGGGATAGATTAGGATGCATTTTGGATCCGGAAACAATCTGGTCTGCAGATGATCTGGATGTGGCGTGAATGGGTCCTGAGGTATGCAGTATAGATGTAAAAGCGACACCTAGCAAATGTCTGCTGTTGCATCAGGATACACAATTCGATAACAATAGGTAACCTGGGTGCTAATGTGCAACAAATAAACAAATGCATCCAAAAAGAAACCAAAATCCCATTCCTGAATAACCAAAGAAACAGAAAAGACCGCAGGACTGTAAACAAATTAGATTTGTATAAACAAGTTCAATCGTTTTAACCACATGAAAACACCAGTACGAAACAAAGATCTCCAGCCACAGCGAATGATTCAGGCAGAAAGAAGACAGAGACTCGGCTTGTGCTCCTGAGGACTCAGACGCTTAATAAGGCTCCATTCACACATGATCGGTTTTCCCCATGTATTCGGCCGCACCGAATTTGCGCAGTACCACTCTAAACATAAAAAACAATGCATTGCAATGTGTATTGTTCAGACTTTTGCGGCGGATGAGTGGTACGAGACCGACCGCCCCACAAAATAGTACAAGCGCGATTTTATGGCGGATTTCGCACGTTCCGGAAATAGTAATAGCCGCAAATGTGCGGAATCCGTATGTTACAGTTTGCGCAGCTTCACGCACACTGAAAACGCTACTGCTGTGTGTGAATGGAGCCTTAGTAACAACCTGACGCCGGCTCATTGGATTCTGCCCCTACTTTATTTCACTGACATGCACCTTCCAGCAGTGCCGGTGTGAATAGTTACGCAACAAATGAACAACATATCTCTGAAAAGTAAATTTAGAAACTAACAGTATCCGAGTTGGTGATGAAAAGATCGAGACTAATTGTAAAAAAAAAAGATAATTAAAAATTAAATATTTACGGGGAAAAACATATCAGGGGCAGTGAAAAGAAAAAATCTGAGCAACCAAGCCTCTGTGTGAGACGGTAAAAGAGTATCCTTGGGGTCCCCTATAAGTACTGGAAAAAGAGGCTTAAGGTTTTTCCAGTATGCCTGTATAACCTCTTTTTCCAGTACTTATAGGGGACCCCAAGGATACTTAAAGTGACATTAAAGTCACATTTTTTCGTCCGTCCCCCCAGTGCTGCTTTAAGGACTTACCTTAAATTATGCCTCTTGAGCCAATCATCTTTTTCCTTCCACTTGTACTGAGTAGTCCCTCCAGCGCTGGTGTCCGTCTTTGATCCAGCACAGACTGCTCGGGTCCCACGCTGTCTGTCCATGTGCACGCTCCAGGCAGCGTGCATTGACATACACTCCATCTCTCCTCTTTTCCCAGCCAAAGATCTCTATGGCGCATGCGCCCGCCCCGTCATGCTGCTTGAGAAGATCTTCAGACTTGGGTGACAAAGGTAAGTAATTACCTTTTTGGTAATTATTTTTTAAATGTTTTTGCATTATCAACTGCTTGCCAGCTGTAGATATATGCAGAAAAAAAAGGGAGTATTTCATTATACTTTAATTTGAAGTAATTGTGACATCATGGCTGCCCAAAAGGGGTGCTTTGAAAAACATTATATAAAGTAATACATTTAAAGGAGAACTATTAGGGGAGTGCTTTTCACTCACCTCATAGTTCTAGCCGACCTGTGACAATGAGACTGTCACAGGTCGGCTCAGTAGATCGGGAGGTGAGGGAACACATACCGGCGTTCGCTCACCTCTCGATCCTGTCACAGCTCTCTGCCGTGACAGGGGAGGGGCTGGATTCCCCCCTCTCTGCCAGCGCTGACTGGCGGAACGGACGAGGGAGGGTACAGATGGCTCTGCCTCTAGATAGGCAGAGCCAGCTGTCACTCCCGCAGCTGGGCGGATCCAGACAATTGTCGGGATCCGCTTCAGCTGCGGCGTTTCAATATACCGCGAGCTGTAGCTCGCGGTATACTGAAGCTTAGGGTGACGGGAGGACGCTAGTTTGTGTCCTTCCGTTACCCTAAGGAGAACTATGGGGAAAGGCCTTAGGGCCTGTTCACATGAGATCAGGTCCTGATCAGGTCCTGATCAGCAGATGTGGAGCTGCTGATGCATTGCGTTTTTGGCTGCGTTCCAGCTGGAGTGGGGCTGTTAGTATGTTAGCTGCAGCACAGTGCGTTTTTGATGCGTTTTTGACGCGTTTGCGTATCCGTTCCGTTTCCGGACCTGACAAAATGTGACATGCAGTATTTTTTCCTGTCGTAAGCTGAACGGACTGCGCATGTGAGAACTGGAGCCCATAAAACACATAGGGATACATTGGGATGCATTTTGAGTGCAGCAGCGTACGGAGCCGGTCAGCACACAAAACGGACGTTGTGTGAACAGGCCCTTAAAGGAGAACTATGAGGTGAGTGCTTTTCACTCACCTCATAGTTCTAGCCGACCTGTGACAATGAGACTGTCACAGGTCGTCTCAGCAGATGGGGAGGTGAGCGAACACATCCGCTGGATCCGCTTCAGCTGTGGCGTCTCAGTATATCGCGAGCTACAGCTCGCGGTATACTGAGCCTAGGGTGACGGGAGGACGCTAGTTTGTGTCCTACCTTTACCCTGAGAACTATGGGGGAAAGACTTAACCCCATAGTTCTCCTTTAACAATTCCCAATAAAATGGTCATTAAAAAAAATGACATCTAAAAGAATAAACTGGGACAGAATTAAAAAAGAAAATACAAGGGACAGTTAAAGCAACCACACAGTGTACATTGGTGATTGAAGGGTAATTTGGGGAGCACATAACACCAGGGAAAACATGCAATAGCTTCAGCGTTTAGGGCATCCCGATTATGCTTATGAGCACTAGGAAAGAAATCCCCAAAAATAAGTGGAAATACAATAAAGTAATTTGTGTCAATGAGAAGACCGGGGAAACCCCAAAAACATACAACCCTTAGTAGGCTGCACAGATCTAAGCTGGGACCTTGGCCATTCAATAAAACATTCCCAG